GTACCAGCCACCACCTACTGTATTTGCCTGCCTATTCGGTGGGTCGTATTCCTATGCAGAATACGACCGTGCGTGGTCCTCCTCCCCCGTCTCGTACGTAGTAGTACGTACTATGACTGTATCATTCATCAATTTTTTTTTGCAGGGTATCATTTATGAAACGGATGGACGGACGGACGGACGGACGGGTACTGGATTCGATACGATACGATCCAAGCAAGGAAGGGAAGCAAGCATTGTTGGTATGGTATTGGTATATGCAGTTGCAGGCCTTCCTATACGCATCCCGGCCGCATTCTGTCCGCGTATTATTTCTTTGCAAGTCCTTAACTTTATTTTATCATTCATTTTTGGTACATGAAAAATACATCATCACATTTTGACTAGCAAAGCAAGACCAAAGAAAATAAGAACCACAAGAATACATTTTAGTAGATACCCAATTTCCATAATTGCTCCCTTGAGTTGGGTTAGGGCCTTCTCGATGCACTCGTTGTTGATCTGTGGAGGAGGAGACTCGATCTGGCATCCTCCTTTCTTCTTCAAGCCAGAAGTCGATGTTGCTTCCTCCTCACACCTAGTCTCGTGTCTAGCCTCTAATCTAGCAACAAGTGCACTTGTCTCATTTACAGCCTCTATGCTAGCTAAAAATGCACGAACATGTACTAAATTTCGCTCTATCAATATATCGATGTACTCTTCTTCCCAATACCAAAACTTGCATCCGTTCTACACAACAAAATTTGAAGTTAGCACAACTAGTTAGATCTAGAGCACAAACCGAAGCTAAAAAAAGCGCATACCCCATCGTTTAAGCACTTGATGAACACCCATCCGGGATGTTCCGGCGTTGTAGACACGCGGCACACGACCATCCTTGGGCAGTGGTCGCACTTAATGAGTGGCAACGGTGCGCCGGCGAGCTTTTGGGCAAGCACCGAGCCCGGCCGACCGCCATTCGTGTATCTGCTGGTGGACCACCGACGGTGCAGATCCGAGCGGCTAGACGAGGAGCCACTGCCTGCATGTGGCCTTGCGGCCCTGCCAGGGCCTTCCGGCGAGGTGCCCGGCCAGTCCATGCCGCGGCCCGGCCTCCCACAGCCGGCCGAGCTCAAAACCGTCCGGATCCGCCCCAAAACCGGCCGGCGGGTGCGCAAACCAGGTGGCCGTGGTCGCGTCCGAGCCCGGCGCCGAGGGGAAGGGGTTGGGCGAGCTCGCGTCCGAACTGCACAACTGCAATGGCAGCGACGGCGGCGGCAGCGACGGGAAGAGTGGGGAAGAGTGGAGGGGGTGCGGCCGGAGGGAGGGAGGGGGGCGGATAGAAAAAGGCCCGTCTTGTGCCACCGACGGGCGGGCCAGGGGAGGACACGCGCAGACGACCCGCGTGTCTGCGTGGTGTCCGTTTCACCCCAAAAGCGGCGCAAGTTTGGGCCGGGAATGGATCGAAAGCGGACACAAAACGGACGGGGCCGGACAGGATAGGGTCGCGCGGTGGAGTTGGCCTTACCCCTGCAGGAGGTCTTTATTTCGCCCCACTGACCTCCAAAACACTTATTTTGTCGGCCGACCATTCCCTCCTCCCCCAATTCCCGTATGGCTGAAAGGCGCCTCACTTGCGCGTCGCAGCGCCGCCCACGAAGACATCTTTGACCTACGCCGATGTCTCAACCAGGCGAGCCGGCGTACGATGATGCGGATAAGAAGATGATCCACGACCAAGGAGGGGCGGAGTCTGCTTTGAGGACGTACACGTGGATGACTCGGGGCCAAAGATAGGTGTTACGTGCGTGCGTGCGTGCGTGGACGGAGAATCTACGAGGATGGCAGGATGAGAAACTAGCTATCACACATATGTTACATCACACATAAGGGAGTACTACGGGATTTGACTTCAGACAAATCTTATATACGAACTAAAAAGGATAGGAAAAAATATTAATATATGCTATTACTCATTGTGGCTAGTCTAATAAATAATACTAGTACTTTCGCCACAGCCACGTGCGCGGTGATCAAGGCATGCATGGGCAAGTGGCTGACGGAGACATGACCGGTCAAAGGCATCCTTGGCGTACAGCGGCTTCGCATGTAGGTTTCGTTTCGGCACATGGTTTGAAATGGTTGACGCCCTCTCACACGTGTAATTAAAAGTAGCATTAGAAACTGTTGGCCGGGATTCCCTCTTTTCTTTTTGTTGCTGGCGCTAACCAGTTGTAGTGCATCAGCGAATTACTTGGCGGTTTTCTCGCTCGTCTCCCTCTACACGTACACGTCTTAATCAAATAAATAAAAAGATAGAAGATGGAATGGAATGTAAGGAAGAATCTCCTGGTTAAAGCCACCGCCTCCGATCCGATCCGATCCGACCACAATGCTCGCCACGCCACGCCACGCCACGTGAAGCACGCACGCACATTACATTACATTCTCCCGACACAACTCGTCACCTCTGCGGTGCAGCGGTCTCGTCCTCACTTTACCGCTCTAACTAAGCAGCAATGACCGTCCGTCGTTATCTAGATATTCATCCTTTCCCCTTTTTGGAAAAAAAAAATCTAACGGTTTATATTCATAGATATTCATCCGTTCTTTACACCAACCCTCCTAGCTAAGAGTTTCTTATTTATACATTTCCTGCTCTCTTTTTCTCCCTGTTCTGGCTTGGTTGTTCCGTCTAGCCGAGCAATTCATTCCTTTTTATGAAAGAAAGATGAGGGACAACGGTTTTTGTTTTGTTTGAAGGAATGTGTTTTTTGTTCATAAGTCGAGGAATTCGGATTATATATTAACCTCATTGTCTAGCTAGGCATGCATTTTCTTTAGATCAGGGACGACATGTAGGGTTGCACTTTCTTTGGTTCAGGGGCGACACGCTTGGTTGGGTCAGACCCATGATTCGGTAGTGTTACATGTATTCTTTAAACCTTGATTAATATAGGCCTACGGGATTTTGCTCAAAAAAACGTATGACATTGTTACTAATCTCCCCCCGCCCTCTCCTCTGAATTTTAGGGTGGGCCCATTTCATTTTAATTACCTATCAAAACAGCCCACCTCAACCCAGGTTCTAAATATCTAGTAAAACCTAAGGCTGGTTGTAATGGGGAGTATCATATACTAGTATCATGCATATGATACTAGTCTATGATATTACATCTCTAATGCATAGTATCATATGTTGGTATCATAGAAGACTACATTTATTGTCATGCATGACACAAAGTAGCACATCATTTAATATGATATGGTATCATGATATGATACTTAAGCCTCTCTTTCTTCGTTTAATTCTATGCCACTTCATCAAAATTGCTTAGTTGGCATGCATTGTACTATCTATGATACTCCTATTAATCACTCATGTGTGTGCCACCAGTCATGCCATAGAAGCTGCGTAGACTTGTATTTATTAGCCGGCAAACTGTTTCCAAGGGAGGGAGGAATCCCTCGCGAACGAATCGTTCACCTCGAGAACCACTCCACAGCGAACAAACAGGCCATTTTGTTGGCCTCCTCCCAATCTCCCAGCATCTATGCCATAGTAAATTAAAAAAAACACATTGCCACGGCTCATCTATAGAAGAAAAGAGAAAACACACATTGAAAAAAATGCATATGATTTAAAAAAAACACACACATTTTTTCACACATTTTAATTCATGTGACAAGAGTTGTTTGGCAAGTTCGTACATTTGCCATGAATATATAAACAACAATGCTACACCTACGTAATGCGTGTTACGTATCTTACGTATGAGCTGATTTGGCAGACTTTTATTGGCCATTAGTTGGGAACGCGGGCCCACCCTTGAAATCAGGGGGCCAGTTTGATTAGTGGGGGATGGGATTACGTAGGTTACGTAGAAGTTGTACGTAGGTGTAGCATTTATTTGAGGATTTGCCATGTAGACAGCTAAGACAGGTTTAAAAACTTGGGTATTTGGTTGAATTGTGCGGGGCGTGGGCATTGCGTGCGTGAGAGCGAGCGTGGGGACAGGGGAGAGCGGCGGGTATTTATTTGGCTTTTACGGGGCATGCAGGTAGCGGTAATGCGTGCGTGGTCCGATCCGTTCATTCATCCATTCATTCATTCATTTGGAGGCCGTATTATTCGATACGATCTATGCAAAGCTGCACTGTTCTTTGGGGGTATCCGTATGCGTATCCGTAGGCAGCAGGGAGGCTGTCTATGCCTACTCGGCCGTAGGGCAGAGTAGGGTTCTGGTGTTGGTTGCTTTCACGCGGATTGGGTTGGGCCGGCGAATCCGGCGCACTGTAGCTGTGGTATCCAGTACTGTGAGTGTACCGTGAGTGTACGTAGGCATTGATGAGCCAAAAACAAAACAAAGCAGCAGCTTCTTCCTCGTTCGCTCGTGGATTTCTTTAGCCGACCCCCACCACACGCATGACGGTGGACTCTCATCTCCGCCCTACTCTACTCCGCGTGGTGAGTAGAGTACGTGACTGTGAAGCGTCGTGCATCACAAAGGCACACACGCACACGTCTTAATAATAATAATAATAAAAAAAGAAAGAATGAAGACGTGGAATGGAACGGAAGGAAGAATGGGTTGACCGGGGCGGGGAGGGGGAGAGAGGTCAAGGGCAGAGCAGAGAGTGATTCGTTGGCATGGCAGTGTGGGGCGTGGACCCCAGAAGATGCTCGCCATCCCGCACCGCACCAAACCAAGCAAGGAAGGAACGATGGATGGGTGGATGGCCACGCCACGCCATGAAGACCCATCTCTCTCTCTCTTTCTCACCCGCGACGGGCTTGAAGCGCTGCGGGCTTCTGCTTTGTTTACGCTAGCTTCTTCCACCTCCCCCTCTTCTTCGTTCCCCTCCCACACGCGACGCGCCTCCCCCCCCTGTACTGTAGCAGGTAGCAGGTAGCAGTAGCAGCAAGGGAAGGGAGAGTAGTCCCGATTGGACCACGGGGACCGCCGATTCGCCGCCCGGGGGAGCTCAATCACGCTCCGCGCACCCCGATCCGTTCATCCATGGCCGATATACTCGACCCCCCACCCCACGACACAGAGCCAGAGCCAGAGCCGCCGGGGATGGACGATTCGCACTTCCTCGGATCCATCTGCGGCATGGGCATGGGCATGGGCATGGGGATGGGGATGGGGGACACCGTCCTCGCACAGCCCGCCCCTGATGCTGCTCCCCCAGCTCCGGGGGGCCCCACAACAGCCCCGCCCCAGCTCCACAAGCAGCAGCCGCAGCTTGTGCCCTCGCCGCCCAAGAAGAGGGGGCGGCCGCCCAGGAGCAGCGCCAACGCCAACGCCAACGCCAACGCCAACGCCAACGCCAACGGGGGTTTGGTCGCAACCGCAACCACAACAACCCTCACCCCCGCCGCCGCCAGGCGGGCCGAGGCAAAGGCGGCTAAGAAGCGCAAGGAGGAGGAGGAGGACGAGGTCGTCTGCTTCATCTGCTTCGACGGGGGCGACCTAGTCGTCTGCGATCGGAGGTGCCCACCCACTCGCCTTCCTTCACCCCTCTGGGAATGGATGCGTCCGATTTCTAACTATTGCCGTGTGCGTGCGTGTGCAGGGGGTGCCCCAAGGTCTACCATCCGGCCTGCATCAAGCGGGACGACTCCTTCTTCACCTCACGCACCAAGTGGAACTGCGGTCAGTCACCCACCCACTTCTCCTTCTTCTTCATGCTCACCTAGCCACCCTAATCAATCCTGCCCTGCCATATAACATAATAATGTCAATTGCTTTTTGTGTTTTCTGTTATACTCACCGCTAACCAAATTAGTTTCCCATTTTCGGTTCCTTCTGTTCCTTCCGAGAGCAGTGTGTGCAGTAACCAAATTCATAGGGGAGGAATTATTCTGGTTCTTTCTCCCGCAGCAAGCACAACTCCACTTGCGCATCATCCCTTGCTCCTCCTTCATCCTCAGCTAGCTTAAGCTTAATCGTGCCGTGTCATACTACTATTAATTCGCTTTGCACTTCTGGTTCTTCTGATAATAAGCAAATTAATTGCCCCTTTTTATTCCTTCTGTTTGTTGGAGTGTCGGGAGGGATCGAGCACGTTAATTGGGCACTTTGATTCTGTTTGTCGCGACCGACTAAGCTCATTAATTCCACGTTTTGGTTCCTTCTGTTGGGAGCGAGTATGTGCGCAAATTAATTGCTTGGAATTTTTTTGTCGCGACCAAGCAAATTCATTGGAAACTGTTTGTCGCAAGTAAGCAAATTCATCAAGGCAAAATAGATACACGTGTCTACTGCCTACCGTCTACTATGACTTGTCTTCAAAAGGAGCGTGCATTTTCATACTTTTTGATCTGCACCTTGAGAGCCCAAAGTCTATTTGATACCTCCCTCTGTAAACTAATATAAGAGTGTTTAGATTACTATTTCAGTGATCTAAACGCTCTTATATTAGTTTACAGTGGGAGTATTTTATAAACCAAGTGTAGAGCCCAGTTTACTTTTCCTGTACTCTTATTGTATTACCGGCACCGCCAACGAGTATACTACTAGTGGTAATTGTTCATTCAAATTAATTAGCATCGAGATTTTGCAATTCAACTACTTATCAAAGGAATCTCCACCTTGCTTGGGCTGTGTTTACCTCCCAAGTCCAGCTGTTTACCTACACCCGCTGGCTGATGATGTCTCTGTTGACATTTTGTATATCAGGTTGGCACATATGCAGCAGCTGTGAAAAGGCGGGGCACTATATGTGTTATACTTGTACATTCTCTGCCTGCAAAGTATGCGTCAAACACGGCAAGTTCTTCGCTGTCAGGGGGGCCAAGGGCTTCTGTGATACATGCTTTGGGACTATATTGTTGATAGAAACGAAAGATGAAGGCGATGATACAAAGGTGATTACCCTCCATCAATCTCAAAACTCTCCATTTCATTCTGCAATATCTAAATAGTTTTGTTTCATTTCTATTTTGGGATTCGGGTCCTTTCTGCCAACTTTAAAGAGTAATTCCTCCTTTTGGGATACCGAATTCACGAAACAACTTCGGTGATCTGCCTTGTTTGTATGGCATGCTTTTGTAGGGCCTAATTGAGTTCATCCTTGCACACGTTTTCTATATATGTCTTTCCATTTCATGTTCTTGCATCTCAGCATTCCATAAAATTGTAACTCTACACCCCAAATTCTTCATTACGTTTTTCCAATTTTAATGATCATGTCACTCCAAGTGGCTGTACGGAGACATAATCGCTTGGAGATGCATAATTGAGATTGGACAAGCAGTGTTTACCCTGATTCGAAATTGGTCAATGCATAACGTAACTATCTCGAGTACCTTGTTTCCAAATGGAAATATCTTAATGAAAGCAGAAATTTGCATTGTCAAGCAAAGGCCTTCAAGTGTTGGTGCTCAATGATCTCATGTGCAGGCCTCATTACGCTTCTTAGTGAAATATAGCAGCCATGACCAAACTGCTAGTTGGTGCCCTTCCCTTTTGGGTTTCATTGATTGCTTATATTCTTCAAGCGTCTCTTCCTTTTTCATGTGTTCTTTTTTGATTGCAGGTTAGGGTTGATTTCGATGATCGATTCACCTGGGAATACCTGTTCAAGCTATATTGGTCGGATCTGAAAGGGAAGCTTTCATTAACAATGGAAGAACTAACCGGTGCAAAGAGCAGATGGAGTGCTCCTATTGCTTATGCTAGGAAAGAAAAAGATGAATCATCTGATGACTTATATGACGCTAATTATGATGATGGTGCTGGAAAACGAAGGCGTGCTAACCCTTCAAGGAAAAGGGGTAAAAAACGTCAAAACCCACAGTCTGTTTGTAGCGTTACTGTCGAAGATGTCAAAGTTGCAACTGGAAATGCTGAAAAGCTGCCCAAGAAGGAACCAAGTGACGGGGTTTCTTTGCCGCTGAATACAAAATGGGCTTCACCAGAGCTACTAGAGTTTGTGGGCCACACGAGAGATGGTGACCAATCTTTTATTTCCCAGTTTGATGTGCAGGCTCTTTTGCTTGACTATATAAAAAAGAATGACCTCCGTGATCCTCGGAGGAAAAGTCAAGTTATTTGTGATTCAAGACTCCAACGCTTGTTCAAAAAAACACATGTTGCTCATTTCGAGATGTTGAGGCTTTTGGAAATGCACTGTCCTGTTAGTGATGCTTCAACGGTAAATGATGGCAACCGTGGAGACATCAATCTTAATTCAGCTCAGATAGATGCCACTGGATATGGTGAAGTGGCAGACAAACTGTATCCTGATAGGAAGAAGCGGATGCATAGAAAGATGGAAAGAGAATCACTGTCTAATCTCAATGATTATGCAGCAATTGACATGCACAATATAAGTTTAATCTATCTACGCCGTAGCTTGATGGAAGATCTTATTGATGATCCCACGTTCTCAGACAAAGTTTCTGGTGGTTTTGTGAGGATAAAAATTACCGATGTTGGACAGAAGCAAGATATGTATCGTCTAGTGAAAGTAGTTGGTAAGATGTTCAATTCTTTTAACTGATACTACCTCCATCCGGAAAAATACTTCTACTTGTGCCCATCCGGGAATAGGCTGCACTTTAGAAAGCATGTGGTCAAACTTTTCTAACTCTTGTCTTCCCAGAAAAGCTTCTCTAACTTTGACTAGGAATGTATAAATGAATCTGGAAAAATAGCATCATTGAATGTGTCAATAGTAATATTTGTTTTGTAGTATCATAAACCAGATTTTGTTTGTTTGTGTAGGGACACATAAGGTTGCAGAAAAATACAACATCGGGAAGAAAAAGACAAATTTTGCACTTGAGATATTAAATCTGAAGAAAAAGGAGATTATCACGATGGATACAATATCAAATCAAGACTTTACACAGGTCATCTCTCTCTCTCTCTCTCTCTCTCTCTCTCTCTCATTTTTGTAATCTATATTTAAATATGAGTGGAATATCATTAGTAATTTTATGAGTTCACAAAGTGTATTGTCGCAGTTAATCTGACTGGTCTTTCTTCTAGTTTGGGTCATTGTGGACTTGATGACACAAGTTCACTATCATTCGTAGCTAGGTATATAATGGTCTTACTTTTAAGTGTTGTCAAGTGCTGAGATCTTTAGACATGGGGGAATGTTCCTGCTCTTGGCATTTGACATAGGACTTTTGTGTTACATGCATCTATTCTTGTTTCTATGTGTGAAATTCTCTCAGACTAGATGAATGTTCTGGTTCAGTGGATTATAGTTGTGCCTCTAATTGAACGGGCATTGCTCCTTTCACCTCCTTTTCTGGCTCATTGAATTATCATTTATCAATGGGTAAATATGCGCACCCATTATTTTTGGCAAGAACCTTGAGTACCTATATGTATAATTCACATATAGAACAATGTACATCAAATAAATTAGAAAGATCAAGTAAAACTGCGATTTTCAGGGGACTCTGTACAACCATTGTTTGGATGCTGTCTCTGCCACTGATTATCGATATTTATGTGTAGGAGGAATGCAAACGCTTGAGGCAGAGCATGAAGTATGGTCTAATCGACCGACTAAAAGTGGTACTGCATATCATATTAACATCTGATGATCTAACTGACTTTAAGGTCTATGAAGTAAGTGTAGGTCTGATATGTTGTTTGTTGTTTTTTCAATTTAGGGAGATATTCAAGATAAAGCGACGATCTTCCAATCTGTAAGAGTGAATGATGTAAGAACAATCCTACCGAAGGAAAATCATATGTACAAGTCTCTTGATTAGCATTCTTTTTTTTTTTCCAAAAGATTCTGATGTGTATTACTTCTTGAATTTTTTCTAGTGGTTGGAAAACGAAAAGCAGAGGTTAGGCTATCTTCGAGACCGTGCAAGCGAAACAGGACGCAAAAAGGAATATCCTTTTGAGCCTCGATCTTGGCTACAAATTTCTGCTTCCGCATCATTTACCTTTTTCTTGTGCACATGTTCTTTGTTGACTCGTGGTGATCTGGACTGTCTTTAGACTGAAAGTGTTATTTCTTTTAATTCTCGGACCATTTATTTTCAAACATGCCGTAAAAAGATCATAATATGTTAAATAAGTTTATATTGTGACTTGCTGATTTGTACATGCATGGATAATCATTTACTCAATGGATATTGTTCATGGCTTTGTTAGGGGGCCTTTTTTTTCTTTTTCTTTCACGGCTTTGTTGTAGTCATCTTATGTTTTTTCTAGAAATAAGGTATAGGGGTCTCAAGTTATGTTCGCTCACCCTGTTTGTACTCAAACTCCATGATAATCTAAAGTAACTCTATTTTGTCTATTTGGTGGCCCTTAACTGTATCATACACTTAGAGAGTGTGTGGAAAAGCTGCAGCTTCTCAACAATTCCGAGGAAAGAGCGCGCAGAATAAATGAAGTTCTAGAAGTGCATATTGATTCCCATATGAATCCTGATTATGAATCTTCTGAAGAAATGGATGATAAAAGAGCTGGTATTTATCTGCTTGAAATATTGGTTCTATATTTACTTGATTAATAAAGTATTAGAATGCAGTTAGTCATCTGGCATCCAATTGATAGGGATTTGCTCCTTAAATTCATGTGGTATGCCACAGTAGCTATCTATGGATGTTGCAATATTTTATTCTGTTTTTGCATTCGAGCCTTTTCTTACTGCAATATTTCATATAATATATCTGGAAAATTTCTTTCAGTTGATCTAATGCAACATTTAAATTGAACTGGCGCAACTGTCCCAATGCATCTGATTTTTGCATTAATCTAGTTTCATGTTTGATAACATCGCTTCTTGGTTATATGCAGTTGAACAGAGTGGAAGTGGCAAAAGATCAAATGGGTTATTCTCACCAATCAAAGTGCAAAATTATGCGAAAATAATGTCTGATGCTATCCGTAATCCCAAAAACCTATCAAAACAAAGTACAATACCGAAATTGGGAGCTGGAAGAAGCTCTAAGAATTCCCATTCAACAACCGGTACGGATATTCCAAAATCTGGCACCAACGTAAGCAGCAAGATGTGTGAAGCTGCACCCGTTTCATCTCCTGGAGTAACACCATCTACTGAGTTGGAGCCAGAGAAAGTCTGGCACTACAAGGATCCATCTGGAAATGTTCAGGGCCCATTTACTCTTTTGCAGCTATCTAAATGGACAGCTTACTTCCCACGTGATCTGAGAGTATGGCTCATTTTTGAGAGTGAAGAGAGATCATTGTTGCTGACAGAAGTGCTTTCAAAACAACCAAAAGATTTCGGTCAGGTTCCATCAGTTAGAAGTAGTAAAACAAAATTGGCAGGGTCTGGACAACACAGGAACAGCTCAAATGTGGATTTGAACAGCACTCCGTCCCCAGCTGGTTATAGTAGGTTTAATTCTTCTGAAACGACAGTTCAGTCTACTAAGTATTCTGTTCCAGAAAGGGTGAGTCCGCTGCACTCTTCAGATGAATTGCAACATGGTGGAGTACAGGGAAGACACTCTGCTGAATGTAACAACGGCCACAACCGGGGTGATCGGTGGAGTCCAAGCACGACGCAGACAAGTTGTAGTGGGCAGAATAATGTAGAATCTCATCGTAATCAGCATGCCTCACGGTCACAGGCTCAGCATAAAAGTAGTTTGCAAGCAGGTTGTGTAAAGGATTTGGATTCGAGGCAGGATTATTCGCACACTGTACCTACTCAACTAACCAGGAGAGATGTCCCCAGTCCTGCACTTGCTTTGAGTCCATCCGAGTCCAGAACCGCTTCAAGCCAACACGAAAGCTCTTGCTTGAGTTCAACCAATCCGGGCCTGCATGATGAACTTCATTCTTCTATTACTTCTGAAAAGACTAAGAGCTGTGCTCCTGCAACTTCTGTTGAAGACAGAGGATCTAGTTCACCGTCTGCCATGCTGGCCCACTCAGAAAGAGTTCCAGTCTGCAGTCAACAGTCGGTTCCTTCCGCGGCCATTCCTGAAATATGCAAGGTGGGGGAGGAGATGAAGAATGAGGAAAAAACACGCGAAACTGATGCATCAAATGTTTCAGTTAATCAGTCTCCTCAGTCCAAGATGTTCCCTGATTCTTCTCCTGACAACCAAGATATTGAACGTGAATACCTTAATCCAGTGCAGAAATCCGAGAGTAAGAAGGCTGATGTGGCACACTCAGAAAAAGTTCCAGTCTGCAGTCCACAGTCAGTTCCTGCCGCATCCATTCCTGAAATATGTAAGGCCGGGGAGATCAAGAATGAGGAGAAAACACGTGAAGCTGACGCATCAAATGTTTCAGTCAATCAGTCTCCTCAGTCCAAGATGTTCCCTGATTCTTCTCCTGATAACCAAGATATTGAGCATGAACGCTCTAATCCAACGCAGAAATCTGAGAGTAAGAAGGTTGATGTGGCCCAGTCAGGGTCAAAATCAGCAATACCTGAAACTTTGGATACTAAGATACCTGACCACTCTCCAGCTTCTTTTGTTTCGCCGAAATTTGATCTCCCAACTGGGGAAGTAGGTGCCACAGATTCAGTACCTAACCTGGAGAAAACAGATGTAAGTGGTGAAGATTTAAATTCTAAAAAGGAGTGTTACAGTGAGACTAGCCTTGCCATAAAGGAGAAAGTGATAGCTGATCCTGCTCCTATTGCTAAGTCAATAGACGCGTCTGATGTTCCGGAATCAGCATGTGATGTTCCAACTGGGGAAATACGAGGTGTGGATAACGTGGAGAAAACAGTTTTGAGTGGTGATGATTCAAATACTCGAAAAGAATGCTGCAGCAAGAAGACTACTCTTGTCACAAGGGAGAAATCAGTAGCTGATCCTGCTTGTGCAGAGTTGATCAACACGCCCGATGTTCCGGAATCAGTATCTAATTTGGAGAAGAGAGATTCCAAGGGTCAAGATTATTCAGATATTCAAAAGGAATTGTACAATGAGTCTATTCTTGTCACGAGCAAGAAACTGTTAACTGATTCTGCTTGTGCCGAGTCGACTGACGGGGCTGCTGTTCTGGAAAGAGACTTAATGGGTGCTGGTTCAAATAGCCAAAAAGAGCTGTACAGCAAGTCTACTCTTGTCACAAGTGAGAAAATGGTGGTTGAACCTGCCTCTTGTGCTGAGTCAGTAGGCGTGCCTAATATTTTGGGCTCAGCATCTAACCTGGAGAGAAGAGATCTAAACGATGAAGATCCAATTGTTCAAAAAGAACTGTTCAGCGAGTCTATGCTTGTCACAGGTGATAAAATGGTGGTTAAACCTGTCTCTCGCGCCGAGTCAGTAGATGTGTCTACTGTTTTGGAATCAGTATCTAACATGGAGGGAAGAGATTTAAACGTTGAAGATTCAATTGTTCGAAAAGAGCTGTTCACGGAGTCTACTCTGGTCACAAGTGATAAAATGGTGGTTGATCCTGCCTCTTGTGCTGATGTCTCTGATGTCCTGGAATCAGTATTTAACCTCGAGAAAACAGGTTTGGAAGGTGAACATCCAAATATTCAGAAGGAATTGTATGAGGAGTCTGCTCTGGTCACAAGGGAGAACATGGTGACTGATCCTGCCTCAGTACATGTGTCCGATGTCCTGGAACCAGTATTTGACTTGGAGAAGACATATTTGGGAGGTGAAGGTTCAGATATTCAAAAAGAATTGCATGAAGGGTCTACTCTTGTTACAAGAGAGTACATGGCGGTTGATCCCGTCCCTTGTGCAGAGTCGACAGATGTGTCTTTAACAGAACAAAATCGTGGAACTTTGTGCATGGATGCGCTAGCAGCAATAGAGCAATTCATGACCGCTTCACCGGAGGAAGAGCCACAGTGCTCTAGCCCCATTGCGTTATCCCCATGGGGTGAATCTGGTTACTATCAAGGCGACGCTGTTGATTCTGGACTATGGGGTGTCCAAGATGACACAATCAATGAAATGTGGTCATTGCTGTCACCGACGCCTACTCCGCAAAATTTATCTGGTTAGTCAGTTTGTCGATGTTTAGCATGCTTCCATCTATTCTATATTGTTTAATTTAACCATCCATTTTCTCTCCTTTGCAGGGGTTAAATCCGAGGCGGAAGGTGGTGCCCATGTTGTCAACGCGGCAACTGTTGCTCAAGGAGAGTACGACTTTTTCCAAAGAGATCCAACACCAGGGGTGCATTGGGGACTGACTGAGCAGGTACTCCCTCTGATCCATGTTACTTGTCTTAGATTTGACACGTTTTAGTATTAGATACATCCGTGTCTATACAAATATGGATCGGAGGAAGTATGTTATATTGCAACATCTGACCAGCATTTTGCTTCCTACACGATATTCCGTATGGCATTAAAGTTTTCCGTGCTACTTCAGGTGAAACCAAAAGCAACTGCTGCATCAGCATCACCGATAGATGTGAATGTGAGCACAGGAGCATTTGGCTGGCAACCATCAGCCAGTGAGAGATCAAATGCTGCATCAGCATCACCGATAGATGTGAATGTGAGCACAGGAGCATTTGGCTGGCAACCATCAGCTGACGAGAGATCAAACGCGGGAGCCGCATGGAGCACTGGCTACAATCCAAACATGTACTCAAGCTATGGAGCAGCAGCAGGAGCAGCATCCTCTGTTAGAACCTCTCAGCAAGCAGCAGCAGCACCCTCTGTTAGAAGCTCTCAGCAAGCACCAGTGAAGCAGGAATACACCGAGTTGGATGCTGCTAATTTCAGAGGGGCCCTAAGGAATTTCGGAGCGTCCTTTGGGAACAACACCAAGAGCTGGAACGCGCCCGCTGGCAATGCCAACCGAGGCAGCCAGCGCCGCGACAGGTACTCTGAGATAAGCGAGTCTTGGCTCCTTAGCTCGAATAACAACCCTAGGAGTAGGACAGATGGATTTAGCGGTGGCGGAACATCACAGACGCCCCCGAGGGGGCATCGGTAGAGAGAGGGCGGTATGTAAATTCCACGAGAGCGGGTACCGCAGCTACCTGCACACGTCACGTCGTTTCTACAAGAGTAGAGAAATGCAAGTTTTTGAGATTCTTTGGGTCATATGTTTCCACTTTTGTATAGACTAATGAATGAATGAATCACGATGGTAGTCGAGCGTAGGAGGGATCTCCATTCAAGTGTAGTAGTAAGAGTAAGAGTACTGAGTATATATATGTATGTCTAGCATAGGAAGATGACAGAGTGTTTCCCCAAGTAGATTTGTTTTGTCTGTTGGGGGTGCATGGCAATATTCCACTGGAACTGCATGTGTACCAAAAACTATTTTCTTTCTTTCTTTCTTTCTTTCTTTCTTTCTTTCATCTTGGCAGAGATTGGTTTTCTTCTGATGCTGGTGCTGGTGGCACAATTTAGGGAGGTACTGCTATTCAAAGGAGTTGGTTGGTTGGTTGATGATTGTTAATATTGATTTCATTGTCGATGCTGTGCATAGTAATGCGGGTGGCGCGTCGCTCTTGTTATAGATGTTGTATTTGTAGTTGGATAACGGATCTAGTTGAGAGCAATATCTCATGTAATGCAAGAGACAAAAGCTCATTATGTTTCTATGTACAGAGTGTGCACACTTGATTTTCTAGGCAACTGTTACACCTGCTACTTGCTAACTGCCGCTGTTAGTGGGACGAAGACAGGATAGTAGGTGTTTAGTTCCAGGTGCTTGAGGATCAGCTGCGCCGCCGACAGGTACGAAGAATGCCCATCCACAAGCTCGGTAACATCAACCTGTAAACAAATGTTCAAAGGTAATATACAAGGCTAACGGAACTCGAGTAGATGCGATCCGCACGCTTACGTTTTCGACGCCAGGGACATCGACGGCCTGTATCCCAGCCAATCCTTGCGTGAGCAGGCTGCATATGAGTGAACTAGTAAGTCGGAGAAAAGATGGTGACCCTAAACTGTTCTTCTGTCGACGACCATCGAATATGAAACATCATCTCGGCTCCGCAACCCTTGTTTACCTTGCACGGAAGGTGACGCCCAGAATCCAGTCATCTTTCGAGTACACGTTCACAAACCTTGCAGCAACCATCTGCAGCAATGTCAATATGAAAATTGTGGCAACTTTTAAGATGCCTCAGTATGACACACATGCAAACTGCATGTCACAATGTTTCTGATCGCATAAAACATGGTACCTTCCTAGCGGGTTCCCATTTCTCGCCTTTGACTGAAACAGGTGCACCTAGGAGCACGACCCTCTCGACGAGTCCCTCTGCTTCCATCAAAACAAGTGAGCGAAACTGCAGCTAAGTATATAGTAGATGTGAGGCACAGATTGTACCATTGTCGCTTGACAAAGCAAGCTCCTGTAAACACTTGAATATGACACGAGCCCCTAGTGAAAACCCAACGAGGGTAACAGGCCTGGGATGATTTTTGGTATCAGATATGGGGAAAAAACTGAGAAACTAACTGCACCAAATAGAATGAGTTGCAGGTGGAATTACCTGTTCCCTTGGGACCCCTTCATAAGTACTTCAGCAAGCATTTTCCCTGCCTTGTCTGATCTGAAATATTGCAATTTATTACTAGTTAAGTAAACAGATCGCTATGATGAGTAAAAAGGCAGCAATCTATGTTGAGTGTGTATGATAGCATGTTATAACATCACAATCTTACTGTTTAAGTACACAAAGAAGCTCTAAAAATCAATTATTTTTTTGGTAAAATTGGTGGGCATTGCAAGCGGTCACAGCTACTGGAATTTGCAGGTACCTGTCGATAGCAACGGACCATTTACTATCGATAAAATCCGTAGCTGCAAGCAGAGTAGCAGGCCATGCAAATGCTGCCAGAAAGCCACTTAGGACTGTTCTCATCGCGCCTTGCTTCATCAGTTCCAAAGCAAGTCCTGCATCAATAGCAATGCAGGTTAATTAAAGGTGTTTACAATTACACAAGCTAGATGTACAAATCTACAAACATTACTTGATGTCAGCCAATCTTGTATTGCTGTACTCACAGCAATTATATGCTTAGACTCCCACTGAAGAATATACCTGCCAGTTATTAGTCAACAGTAATTGTATAAGAATATTGTACTGCTATACCATTAGCTTTAAACACGTGGATGAAGTACAGAAATAATGATCTGAAAAAAGAGCAAGTCAAAAATCATTCTAGACCTTTCTAGGTTATCCTTCCATCCTTCCCAAGGTCTAATGTAGTCCTCCTCATCAAAAGCAAATCCAGAAACCAAGATGCCAACCGCAAGACGCTGAAAGGATGAATGACATTTACAGAGGCCAAATCAGTTCGATTACTATACAGATGAATGGCATTCTAGTGACATGGAATTTGGTGTAACATCCGAGAGAGTTAAAGAACTCACACCCTGATTATGGTTCTCACCAATCGGTTTGAACTCAAATTCTTTTACACTTCCAATCCTTCTGGCCATTTTGGTGCCCGTCAAGCCAGCTCCAGCAGCTAATTTACAAAGATCATTCCAAGGACATAAGTAACCAAGTAGAATATTTCTGCACTACTACATGATTATTCTCGTTGATCCATTCCATCTCCCTTTTGGGAGTTTATGAATTGCATCATCTCCTGGCAATCCATCTAATTATCTTAATTGTAAAATGTGCCGACACAAATGAGGTGTGAAATATAACTCCCATAAACAGGAAACAAAATTTTACGCAGCATAGCATGATGGCAGTATAGGATGAAGAAACAAAAGCTCAAAATGACATCACCCAAATGATTTAGAAAGGACATTCAGACATACCCCCAAATGATGCAGCCACGGCCACAGAGCCAGCAACAGATCCCGCAGCAGTAGCCATAGCAGCAAATCCACTAGCTCCGATAACAGGTATAATTGTTCCTAGCGTTGGAGCAAGAGCACCAAATCCTGCAGCAATTGCTGGAGCAGCTAAACCTGTCATGTAGAAGAAGAGAATATGAACCACCCAAGATATTTTTAGCATCTCAACAGAATTTCCAAAAAATATCTCCTACCCCCAGTAATAGCCAGTAATGCTCCTCCGGTCAATGCAGCTGCACCGATGATTCCTCCACGCTTCCATTTCGCCCATTTGCTTTTGGGTGTTGCGTTCTCTCCTGACTGTTCTTGTTCTTTTGCTGCTGCCATAGCAGAGCATGCGACCATAACCTCGATGGCTTCCTACAGTAGCAGAATGGGTGATCACAAATTATGTAACAACAGCCTGAATACACATTCATATGTTTTGGGTTCCTTTTTGTTTGATGATATCAGAATGCAGTTTCGTAACATCTTATAACATAATTATCACTGCTGAATTGAAGAAGGATGTATTATTGTACAAACCATTTTGACCCACTTCACATCAAGCCAAGTTGCCAGCAACCGAAGGGCGACCCGATGCCGGGCGTCGTAGCCCTTCCTGAAGTGAGAGGACTTCCTGTCGTCTTCCTCTTGCGATACGGGCTTATCAGCCACACAGGCAGAGAGGAGCGTAAACAGCAGCGTCATCTTCCGGTGATGGGTAGCAGGCACATCATCCAGGGACAAGTTATCGATTCCCAGCAAGTCCTCAGCGGGGAAGCCTTTCTCTGAGGATTCAGCCATGCCAGAACTAGTAGAAGCCTTTCTCTGAGGATCACCCTCTTTGGTTGTTTCATCCTTTGCAGTGTCACTGCTCAAGCTCATCACCATGGCATCAACTCCTTTGGCCAAGGCGTGTTCCTGGTCCTGGCTATCCGAAGAGCTCTCGCCGTCTTGTTGGAAGATCATCCTCAGAAACTACAAAATGGAAAATGGAAGTGGAATCAGACGAAGTGAACCACACTTTGAAACAAAACGAAAATAGCTATGTGTATTGAGTGGTTAGTCCCAATTGGACAGTAGAATCCCCAAATGTGCTCTGCACCTCACTGTCTGAAACGAAATGTAAACCCAACTAGGGCGAGTGAGGACACACGAGCGAGGCCAAGGGTCGTACCGCGCCGATGTGGTGCTTGGCCTCCGGCGACGCCGCCGTCTCCTCCAGCCCCGGCCACGCCGCCGGGTCGATCTCCAGGAACCTGAGAGGACGGCGATCCCCAACCCAAAGTGGTAAGTGAAACTGAAACGAAGCGTTTGTGCCAGAATTGGTAACCGCTGAGTCAAATGTGGGGGGCGGACCGGACCTGAAGACGGGGCGGAGGAGGCCGCGGGAGTCGTGCGTCCAGAGCGCCTTGGCGGCGGCTTCGGCGTCCTCCCCGCTGCCGCCGGTGGAGCTGCTGCTGCCGCTGCCGCTGCCGCCGCTGGCGCTGCTGACGCGCTCCTCCTCGTCCGCGGCGGCGGTGGCGGGGGAGGAGCCGAGGAGGACGGACTGGTGGATCTGCGCCTGGCGGAGCGCGAGCGCCAGCAGCGCCCCCGCGGCGTAGCGCTGCGTCGGCGTCAGCAGCGCCGCCGCCATGGCTGGTGGTGCGAGGTCCGGGCTGGACGGCGCGGGCGGCGTGCGCGCAGAGCCCGAAGTCGGCAGCTTCGAGGGAGGGAGAGAGGCGACGTGGACCTGGTTGGGCCGGACGGGACGCGTGGCCGGGGCCGGCCGGCGCCGGTGGTTTTTATACCTTGTGCCGGTCAAAACTTTGGGTTTGCTCACTTCTTCTTTTACTACTAGTAGTACTGTTACTTTAACTTCACATGAAATCTATTTTGAAATATGTTGATTCTGGCAAAATTTGAGGGGAACAAACTGTGCTTTTTCCGATCTGCTAATCCCCATTTGTCTGGAAGCAAATTTGGACCAGTCGATTTCGAAGAGGATAGGAGAGTAGGACTAACATTCGAGCTGGCGCCGGCCGCGACATCATAGGTGGAGACGAGACAGAGGTGACGGTAGCCCCGGTAGGCTGGAGGGTGGAGCGTGTGATCGGAAGTTTCAGAAGGGATCACACACCGGGGTTTACCTAGGTTCGGCCTCCTCATGATTGAGGTAATACCCTACGCCTCCTTGTGGTTTGATTGATTGCGGGGAAAAAAATACTTCACGTTAGGGGGTTACAATATTTGTAAGAACTATCAAGATGATGACTAGATGTCAGATGATCTCGATCTACCTGCTAGCCTCAACTTAGGGTTACACGTCCTGCAAAGTGGCTTGGAGTCTCAACCTGCAGAGAGCCTTGGATTTGTATGCCAAGGTAAGCTTCTTATGGAAGGATACGCGCCCAGAGGCCCTTGGATGGAGACACCTAGGCTTATTGGGCCCTAAGGTGTAAAGTTCTTTTTCTAGTTTTCTTGTTGGTTCTACTGGGACCTACGAACGTGTTATTCTTGTTTTCCCTACTTTTTTTGCCGTCTAAGGGTGTAAATTTTCCTTACATTAGGAAGTCTAAAATCTTATAAAAATTCATAATTTTCAAATTTAAAGTTTCAGAAATGCAAAACCCGCCGAATACTCAGAATTTCTTTTCGAAACTTAGACTAAGCATCAGATAGGTACAAAGAAAGCATAGGTTGAACAAATCGATTGAAATCACTATTAGATTGAAAACCAATAAGATTAATAATAAATGTATTAAAAAGGATGCAACCAATGTATTTTTGTTCTTCAATTTTGAATCTTGAAGACTTGAACGGCCAAATAAACTGGTACTATTTATTTGCCCAATATGACAAGACCAGTTTATTACTTCAGTTTTGAAGGATGTTACAACCATTTTTTCTCCTAACCATACCCATCCCGTGCCAAGAAAGGAGGCAACCACGAGATAGGCAGAAAGCTTGGGAGCCGACAAACAACAAGAGGACAACCATCATGGCGCAAGCAACCATGTCCCTAGAGCCAAGAAGGTGCGCTTTCACGAACGTCCTGACCCTCACCTTCCAGCAGGCCCCATGGTACCGATTAAGCTCATCGATCACTCTTTCCAGAGCCGGCACCCTCGTCAGCCTCACCGACCGGGTCATCCCGTTCCACAGCTCGGCCACTTCCTGGTCACTCTTGAGGTGGTTCAGTATGATCCCGTGCTCCCTCAGCAGCCGGGCATCCTCGTCGGTGTCGATGATCCCGTTCATGAGCTCGACGTACCGCGCGAAGACCAGTGCCCTAGAGCCGACAGACGCCTCGTAGGCCACCAGGTTCCGCAGGACGACTTCAGTGGTCATGTCGATGCTGATCGCGCAAAATTCGATCGTGGAGATGCCACCGGTTGTTGGGGTGAATGTGACACCGACATAGGCGAGTTCGGAGATAGAAGGCACCGCGATCTCCTCCAACAGAGGTGATATGTTTCTGTTCTAAACATCGGATGCACCCTTGGGTTCACGGGCGCCTCGTTGAGTAGCTAGCTGCTCGATGGGTTGCCTGACCATTGACAGGCATGGAAGAGCGGCTAGGAACTTTAGAAACATCCTCACCATGAAATCTGTCACCAACGACGCCAACTTCAAGCCACGCTTCACGAGCAATTCCGTTATTGAACTCATAGTCGATCTCTGCGGGTGGTCACACAACCCATCTCCGGCTTCTTCCGTTGCACCATCCGACTCTTCCACACAACCACATGGCAACATGTTAGAGTATAGGAAATCTAGCAAGTGGGCGTGTCGTGTGGCGTCGGTGCATGGAGAGCTTATCCCCTTGAGCAAGCAGACCTCCTGAAAGAACCCTGACAAAATGGAGCTCAGATTAGGCCGTGGCACGCCATGGCCTGACGAGCACCACATCTCGACTACTTTTACGACAAGAAACATTGGAATCTGGTTCTCCAGCATCACGATGTCACGTAGCAGCATGCTGTGTACAGATGTTCTATGAGATGGGTCAACCAGATGCGACATCCTCGAGGGCATCCTTTGTGTTGTCCTCCGGTTTTTGGTCTCGCAGAAAGTCTGCAGGAACTCGAGAAGAAATGACACGTCGATCGCCATCATCCATGCCAGTGTCTCGTTGGTGAGATTGAGTTGCCTGCAAGAACTAAACACAAGGTAATTAGTAAAGATCAAGATTTCCTTCGGTTATGCAAGTAGGATATATTTATTATTCTGCACTTAAACCTGTGATAGTGAGAACGAATCCGGTGCTCGAATGTGGCAAAGACGTCCACAAGTTGTTGCAAGTTCTTACTTGGCAGGTGGCTTTGGGCTCTCTTGGCTGCAGAGAGCTTGTACATCTCCATGTCACAGTCCTTCACGACAATGGTGGTAAGGGCCCAAGGCCACCAGCTGAGGCACATACGCTTCCGGCTTAGTGCACAACAGGGGCTTGAGGACATCGAATGTGGAGACGGGCTGCTCATCGCCTAGCTCGATCTCCTCTTCAAGGATTCGACGAATCCGGATGATCCATTGTGTTTCATCAAATGGGAGGTCTGAGCATGTCACCATTTGGCCTGTGATAGATGTGGGTTTTACAGGTCATTTTATTTGAGAGCATGCATGCGGGCATTATGAGAGGAGGGCCAGAGTAAGAAGTGATCTAAAATGGTCATCGGTTAGATTGAAAAGCGTACTACTCCTACTTATGAAGCTTATATTTATTAGCATCAACGTAGTAACCGAAGCGTTTTGGAAGGCAAAAGAAACTGAATCAAGATACTAGACGATTACAAAAGAGGCCAATAGTAGTAGAGTAGACTGGGAAAACCTACGGAAGGAAATAGAATTACCACTTGTGTTTTTCATAACTGACGTCCTAAATCTTGCTACCACACTTTTCTTAACTTTGACTAAAGGAAACACAAATTAATTCAAATTTACAAGGTGAAGACAACATGGCAATAACGATTTTTTTACTTGAAACCTTTGAAGCAGTATACCTTTTCAACCAAAACCAAAAAAATGTGTCGGGAGCAAAGTATTCCTGTAAATGGTTCTTCCTCGTAAATGAAAATGCATGCGATCAATTGATTTCTCACGATTTTCAATATGGCTAGACCTAGACGGTTCACTGCTGAGCAAAGTTTCGGTTTTAATGGCCCAGGCTGAGATGGCCGAATTTCGGTCAGTTCAAACATTTCGGCAAAATCACAGAAAAACTGCAAAACCAAATTTTTTTTAACAAAATTTGACCAAAAATTTGACTGCGCCGAAAGGGACTTTTTCGCCCAAGGCCTAGATGTCTGAAATTCGGCCGAAAATCAAAACTCTTCTGCTTAGTATAAAATTCAGGTACAAGTCAGCTGTGACGAGAGGATTTGCTGCTGACCTGTTACGTGCGTCCTCTGGACTTGTTGCCGGCCATCAATCTTTCCTTCTCTCGAAGCAATTTGTACAGGTGACAAACTGTTGTATTGATCGAACTGATGTTACATTTACATTTAAGGTGGAGTAAAGGGACATAAACAAGGAAGAACGTATCCACTAAATATATATACTCCCTCTGTCACGGTTTAGAAGGCGCGCTTGTAAATTCTCTGGACCTAGGTGATTATCTATTGGTTGTGAGATGGGCTAAAAAATAGTATTCATACTACGCATGCACATAAAATAGTATATCGGAGTACTAATTAGCTACTAGAAATAAATGCAATACGCCCTAAACCTTGTCTATTGTGAAAACGCACGCAAATTTAACTGTGCCTTCTAAACTGTGACGGAGGTAGTACTACTTTCTTATCTGCGACCCTACTGAGCGCCGATCAATTAACATTTGCATTGAACAATATCACTTGACCCATGTGAAACATAGTTCGTAAATATGACTCTTTTATTATATATTCCAAAACAGGAGTGGTGTTATTAATTCCAAAAATATGGGCGTGTAATTGCCGAGGAAATCACCTAAGAAATTATTACAAGTGGCACTGAGATCTGTTGTCACAAAAATGGTAAACAAACATTAGAAAGAGGTCATCATATACTATATGAAAAGTGTTCTGTTCATGACATAAAATAATTATATATGAATTATATTAGGCAAAAGTAACTGGGCATGATATTATGAGATCCTAAAATTGGAATGACTAACCATGATATTTAGTGAGAATTTGAACTATCTCATAACTTCGTAGTCTGATTGCTTGAACTTCAAAAGAACATCCTACATACCAGTTGAAAGAAGCACACCCCTTGCAATCTTGCATCAGAATGCTATCCACTGGTTGGAAGAACATACTCCCTCCGTTCTAAAATAAGTGTCTCAACTTTGTACTAACTTTAGTATAAAGTTGTATTAAGGCTGAGACACTTATTTTGAAACGGAGGGACTAGTAGCTTACAAGATCTCCTTTCAGAAGAAAATAATAATCAGCCAGCACATAATGCTTGTTGGGTTCTTGAAGATGGAGCCAACCTGGAGATAGCCCAAAAACCGTTGGCCGAGTCGCATACAGATAAGCACACACCTTCATGTTCACGTGCATGAGCACGTGTACGCCCCCCCCCTCCCCACACACACCGTTCTCGTCCCCATTCCCATTCTCCGTCGATCTATATCACCTAGGAAGGCTTCGGATGTGACCGACCATGGCG